TACATGGGATTTGGTGCAAAAATACTTTTCTACAGGTTCCATACATTGACAAACAAAAATGGTGGACTTACCAATTTTTAATAATTATGGGGGGAGGGGTCAAGATGCCACAAAAAGCTTAATTTTAGGGATTTCTTTTGCCAATTACTCTGTCGTATTTCGGCCAATTCACATGGGATCTGGTACAAAGATACTCTTTTACAGGACCCATATATATGATTAAAAAATGTGGGATATGAGGCTGTTTCTGAGAAGTAAAAAAATTGATTATCAGTCAATTACACTAAAGTTCCTGGAAATGCTGATCTAATAAAAAATAATCTCTGCTTCTTTCAGTGTGCTTATTGATTCAACTAACAAATATCACCGAAAGTTTTTTCCCCTTTAAAGTTCAACAGCTCCGCATTTAAAAAGGGACGGACATAATGACACAGGTTTGATTCAGCTATAGATCCTCAAGCCGTGTTGTAGTTGAGCAATCACATTTCCTTGCGTTTCGAGTGGCTAGTCATGAGAGATATTGGTTACGATTCCAACTATCCTGTAAACACTCCAGTGTTCCTTCGAGCTTCTCATTCTTGAAATTAAAACTAACGTTTTTCATCGGGACAAAATTTTCACAGCGATCAGAAATGTTACCCTAAAGACAAAGGTTATAAGATTCTCTTGTGTATACATTTAATTTACTTCAGATTATGATGCAGTGTCCCACTAAAACTGCATCTAAATTTGAAAAATTATTTTCAGGAAAAGCCGGAGAATGCATAAAATTTAATCCAGAACTAAAAAGTTTCCAGAGCCCTAAGGCGAGCTCTATACCTAGGCCGTAATGGATGCGCCTGTAGCGCACATTCTCTCGCTTCTCTCGGTCGAATAAACGTTGCTCCCCATTTTTAATTTGCCTCCTACACCTCTATGGTGTTTTGTTTATATTGTAACTTGCTAGTTTGAGTTACTCCTCTTTATTCGGGATTTTTGAAATTCACAAGACTGCTCTCTCTACTCGCACAATTCTGTGATGTCCAGTAGTGAAAGTACAAAACTTCACACTGATAAAGATGTATAAACGATCATTTACGCACCATACATATTAATAACCTCGTAATATTTTGTTTATAAACGGTACACATTCTTAGCGTAAACAGTAAAGTTTCTTGTAACGCTGCTAGTCCGTGCTTATCTAGATTACAAATAACCTGGTAACTTAAGAAAACTCCCACTATTTCGATATAATATTACCGTATTTTTCGGTGTATAAGACGCACGCTTTACCCCAAAATTAAATGTCAAAATCTGCTTCCGTCCTATACACCGAAGGTGTGAATAATATATATGTACCATATACACAAGCC